ACAGTCCTTTCTTTTAATACTATTTTTCTTATGTAACTACGAAAAGTCTCCATTGCCACTTGCCAGGGCAGCCATGTTTGCTGCCCGTTTCATAATAGCGTCCGACTGGAAACACGTCTCAAACAGGAACTATTGTGCTGGTGGGAGCCGGGAAAAACGTAACACTTGTAAACATCACTGAGCTGTCACTTTGTAAAGTCGTGGAGAAATCTGAACAAATAATAAGGTAAGTGGGGAACAAGATTAATGCATGAAACATGTCGTTTGGTTTACCTAAAGTCTCTTTAGTTATATAAAATATGGTTTTGTAGTTCAGCGTTTATAATAGATTTTATAATAAATCTGTGCGGACGGCTCACATGTCCAGTAACGTATCAACATAAAGCAGCTATAATATAAAAAATGTTGCTAGCTAATTGTATAACCATTATTATTAAATATTATTCGTATTTTGTACTGGAGAAGGTTAATGGTAACGTTAAGGACATGTGAAATCCTATAAATAAAATAAAGTAATATAACCAATTATAAATATATTAAAAGTAAGTGTAATCCCAAACAAGCAAGTTATTATTATTATTATTGTTATACAGACTTTTATTTATTTATTTATTTATTTTTTACCATGTTTTATCTGTCCCACAATTCAAATGTGTTCCTGAGAATACATTTTTCCTTGATTGCTAAGACACACTTAATGAAACTGGAATCCACTTGATCTTCATCATCACCTTTGTAGCACTGAGCAAAAGAAAGTTGACACAGATCCTATTAAATTAACTGTGGTAAACAAAAGGAAAACATCTATTCACAGCTGATAGGAATTCATTGCACAGTTATGAATCTCTAATGCACCTTTGTGAGCTCCTTTGCACTACTCTTTAATTCAGCAATCAGTCCGTATCCATCTATAAAAGATACCACCTCTGTGTTGCTATTTGCAAGCATGGATCAAGAGGCCAAAGGCACATAAAAATGAATAACGAGAACTGTCTCCAAATTTGGTTCCTCACCACAAAGAAAACCATTGAACCAATAGCAAGACAGGCTGACAAGATCCAGGGTAACCTTGCCCTTTGGACTCATCACTGCACCACACTCTGACACTCTAACAGCCTGACTTTTCACACAGATTGCTCTACTTCCAAGTCAGAACACAAGAGAGTAACACATCACTAGATCAGTTTCACAGGCACTTATTCCCGTGCAGCCTTACAAAAACAGTTATGGTCAGAGATCATTTTGTCGCACTTACACTTAAATTTGGAATGAGATCCCACATGTATAATATAAATGAAAACTTTCTTAAACATGTTTTTTATTTACAGTATTTCAACAGGGCATCTCAACAAGATGCAAAAAGTGCAGATGCATAGTTCAGCAGGGTTTGTTACTGTATCTATGGTACAATCATCTTTGGAAAAAAGAAGACACTTCATGCTGTGATACGCTTGCTTGCCTTTTTGGCATATATTTTAACTACATAAAGTATCAACAATGACACAGACATTTTCCACAGGTTTTGTTTTGTATGTGCAATGAAGGGAAGGTGGTTGTAAAAAAGACTTTTGTGATCCCATGTGGGATGGGCTGAAGGCATGACACCAAAATAAATAACAATGAATTAATTATGCAGACCATTCATTAATGAAATGCATATGTTTTATGAGCCAAAATGGTGGCTCCCCAGTGCCAATGTATCCCTGATATTAAATTGTATGTTTCTGACACAGATGGATGAGGTGTCTGCTGATGCTGTCACCCTGGATCTGGTGAGAGAAGCAAGGGAGACGGTGAGATGCAGCCCCCTGGGTGTCATCAACACTCCCATGATCCCCTGGTGCCAGACAACCCTGCCTCTCAACATCCACTGCAACATCCACATCAAACTGGAGAACATGCAGAGAACTGGTGAGAGGGAATAACCCCTTAAAGTCATCACACACAACCGTATCTCAGCTTCATACTTAAGAATTGTCTTTAATATTTAATTGACAGGGTCGTTCAAGATCAGAGGAGTGGCCAATCAGTTTGCCAGGAGACCGAAGGGTGGTCATTTTGTCACCATGTCTGCTGGGAACTATGGGAAGTCTTTTGCGTACGCTTCAAAGCACTATGGGTCAAAAGGCAAGGTGGTGATGCCGGAAACAGCCCCAGTGTCCAGATCCATCCTCATACAGGTCAGAGGTTGTCTGCTGACTGGCTGAAAACCAAATTCCTTCAGTTGCAATAAAAGTGTCATTCTCATCCTCAGAGTTTCGGGGTGGAGGTGGAGCGAGTTCCCACCTCCTGCTTGATGAATGTGGTGAACCGTTGTGTTCAGGAGGACAACATGACCTTCCTGCACTCCTATGATGATCTGGATCTGATAGCAGGACATGCCAGGTACACTCAGAGGCTGACAGTGGATATCGGAGTCTTAAAACTTCCATCTATTCAAACAAACCCACATGTGTGTGTGTGTGTGTGTCCAGTCTAGGTATGGAGGTGCTGGAGGTGATGCCCGAGCCTGATGTGGTGGTGGTGTGCTGTGGTGGAGGGGGGTTGCTGGCCGGTGTAGCCACCGCCATCAAACTGTCAGGCTGCGATAAGACCAGAATCTACGGTGTAGAACCAGAAGGAGGTAAAACTCACACAAAGGAACAAAACACATGGATGGATTACTGAACGGGTCTACCAGGCTCAGGGGCCCAAAGTGGAAGAGCCCCCTTGGCCTTAAAAATGTCACTTAAACTAACTGTACTGACCAGCTAGAGACTTAAAATGACCACAAACAAACATAAAACAGCTGCAAAGAGATGCAAAGCAGCTGCAAAGAGACACAAAGACACTCACAATAACTACAAAAATAGGCACAACCACCACAAAGAGACACAAAATGACTTCAAAGAGACAGAAAGTAACTAGAAAGAGACTCAAAATGTCTTCAGAGACAGAAAGCAACTACAAAGAGACACAAAATGACTTCAAAGAGATAGAAAGCAACTACAAAGAGACACAAAAAGACTTCAAAGAGACAGAAAGCAACTACAAAGAGACACAAAATGACTCAAAGACACAGAAAGCAACTACAAAGAGACACAAAATGACTCAAAGAGACAGAAAGCAACTACAAAGAGACACAAAATGACTAAGAGATGCAAAACAACTACAAAGAGACACAAAATGACTCAGAGACAGAAAGCAACTACAAAGAGACACAAAATGACTACTAAGAGACAGAAAGCATCTACAAAGAGACACAAAATTACTACTAAGAGATGCAAAGCAACTACAAAGACACAAAATGACTTCAAAGAGACAGAAAGCAACTACAAAGAGACACAAAATGACTCAAAGAGACAGAAAGCAACTACAAAGAGACACAAAATGACTNAAAATGACTGCAAAGAGACTCAAAATGACTCAAAGACACAGAAAGCAACTACAAAGAGACAGAAAGCAACTACATAGACTTAAAATGACTTCTAAGAGATGCAAAATGACTTCAGAGACAGAAAGCAACTACAAAGAGACTCAAATGACTTTAAAGAGAGAGACAGCAACTACAAAGACTCAAAATGACTGCAAAGAGACTCAAAATGACTCAAAGACACAGAAAGCAACTACAAAGAGACAGAAAGCAACTACATAGACTTAAAATGACTTCTAAGAGATGCAAAATGACTTCAGAGACAGAAAGCAACTACAAAGAGACTCAAATGACTTTAAAGAGAGAGACAGCAACTACAAAGACTCAAAATGACTGCAAAGAGACTCAAAATGACTCAAAGACACAGAAAGCAACTACAAAGAGACAGAAAGCAACTACATAGACTCAAAATGACTTCTAAGAGATGCAAAATGACTTCAGAGACAGAAAGCAACTACAAAGAGACTCAAATGACTTTAAAGAGAGAGACAGCAACTACAAAGACTCAAAATGACTGCAAAGAGACTCAAAATGATTACAAAGAAATGATTACAAAAATCGGCAAACCACCAACTACAAAAAGACACATAAAGCAGCTTAACAGTTATAAAATTCTGTGTCTTGCTCCTGTGGAGGAGAGGTGGTGGGGCCTTCTACATGTCCGTAGCCAGGGTCCCCATTGTCTCATAATCTTCACTTGATAAAACCTGCAATATAAGCTTCAAATGAATAGCCACCACGTTTTCTAGCAGCTTAGTGAACTTGTGTTTCTGTTTAAACTCAGCCTGCACCATGTACAAAAGTTTCATTGAGAAGAAGCCAGTGGGCATGGACACTAAGAGCATCGCTTCAGGACTTGCACCACCTTTTGCAGGTAGCATGCATTTTATTCCTCTCAATCTTTCTCTCCATTGCTTGAAATTAGACTCCTGCAAATACAAACTTTCTTTGCCTCCCAGGCACACTGCCTTTCGAGTTGTGTCAGCGTTACGTGGAGGGGATCGTCCTCATAAACGACGAAGAGATCAAGGCGGCAGTGTCCACCCTCTACAGGTCTGGACTCGTGGTGGAGCCGTCAGGTTCTGCTGCGTTCGCTGCCATCGTTAACAACAAGATACCCGAGCTGGAGGGAAAGAACGTGGTGTGCATCATCAGCGGAGGGAACATCGGAAAAGACGAGCTCACCAACTTCCCAGATTGACAAATATACACCTTTATGATATGACCACTCAATGTAACATGTTCTGAAAATGAAAAACTATTCAGGTCTTTTGATTTTTTTAATAAACAAAACTATGTCAGTGCCATTTTGCTGTAAATATAATCAGTCTAACTATGAATCAAAATGTGATTTTTTTTTTTTTTTCAGTTTTTCAACAATCAAACTCTTGATAAGCATTTTAAGTTGAATAATCCTAAAATGATCGATACACATTTCATTTTAGAAGTTGCTGCAGGAATATGAGACAAGGCTAAAAAGTGTTATGACTTCCTTAACTGCCTCTTAAACACTTTTTCTGCATCTGTCAGAGTCTCAACAACAACAAAGAAAATGTAAGCAGGAAAAAAAGACGAATGCATGAAAAGATGTATGAAAAATAAAGTGTATTTTCTCAGCTGTGATCATGACCTGATGTACAGAAAATGGGACTTTTTGTAACACCGATTTGAGATGGTACGGAGTGCACATAAGACAAGGTTTGCATGTCCTTACAATGTGTTGGAAAAACGTCAACAGCATAAAAGAAAAATATTAGTATGAATCCCCATCCCATATGAACAAAGGCAACCTATTAATTTTCTTTTTTAAGGCCTGTTCTGGTCCTTTTTCCTGTCGTAGCTACATGACGTCTTTGGTGGCCATCCTGCATACAACTGCGTCCAACAGAGACCCACACTTCTCCTCCTGTGGGGTGACTTTATACAGCTGAAAGAAAGGCAGAAAAGGGGGGTAAGACTGACAAAATGCTGTGGAAATCTGCATGTGTGTGTCCTAGATCTGAATGAATTTGTAGTCTAGCACTACACACGATGACTAAGTCACATAATATCAAAGCAGAGATGGAGAACCTTTTTGATTTTTGCATGGTCCGTCACTGAGGGAACATCTTCCGCTGGAACCTGCCGTCCGTTCACCCTGGCTCTGATGTCAGACACAAGCGGCGACACATCTTCAGTGTGAACCAGGACCACCAGGACAGAGTCATCGCCGTCAGAGATCCCAAACCTTTTGAAAGCCTCTGAGATCTGTATTAAGGACGTCATACAAACATGATTAATTTCTGTTTTGAGTTTATTCATGTACATTATGACCGTTTAGTTCACTGGTTCCCAACTGGTCCAGCACAGGGAACCAGATTTCTCCTTTGTCATTAGTTCAAGGTCTGCAGTTTAATATATTCAGCATCATACTTGCGTTTGGTCGTATCGTCAGGCTAGTTGTTGCTGCCCATTGTCTTACTCATTCTACAGCAGGAAATGGCTCTTCAAAATAAAAGCTGTGTGCCAGAAATTCACCATAATTTAAAATAAAGTGTGATGTATGTTCACAAGTCATTTGCAGTTCATTTAGAATGGACCTGCGACCCACCAGTTGCGAACCACTGGTTTAGTTGGTGCTCCTATCCAGAGCGAGATACATACTGTACCAAGAATGAGTGCAGCAAAAGAATACATTTCCTTTTCTAAATATCCAATAGTGCAGCTACCAGTGTTGGGGAGTAAACAAATACATGTAAATAGCTACATGTAATTAAATAACAAAATAAAATTAACTGTATTCAGTTACAGTTACTGAGAAAAAAAATATGTAATTAAAATACAGTTACCATGAAAAATTTTGGTGATTACAATTAACTAGTTATCTGCAACCTATTACATGTCAAAAGTAACCCTCCTAACACTGGCAGTTACCATTAGTTAAGACAGCAATGTTGAAAGGAACAGGTATCCCTGGCTTGGTGCTGTGACAGTGATAAAAAGAAAAGCAACAGAGGTTGGGTTTTGGTTACTCACATTATTAGTAGGTGACAGGTTGAAGATTATTTCTGAGAATAAACTCCTAGTCTTCATTTTCCCAATTTTCTGTAAGCTAACAGCCTTGTTGGCAGCTACCAGCACCTGGAAAGGACTCACCAGCTGTAAGTGAAAAATACAGTGATTATCAATGAGGTGACACAGTTTCCCTGACACCTTCTACTTCCCATTGGGTGTAAAATATAAGTCTGTACAGAAGCTAATACAACTGTTAGCTAATAAAACATACCTAAAATACATAAAAGTTTAGTAAACTCCTGCAAATGCTGAATGAAAGCATCTCACCATGGTTGGGTTGATGAGGGCAGCACTTATTTTACCCTCCACCGCATACTGTCTCAACTCTGCGGCATTTGTCACCTCCTTGAAAAGCATTTGAGTCACCCTGAGGTCGGGGAAAAGCTCCAAGTCGTGTGTTAAATTCATGCTGGAGAACTGCTTCAAGAACCACGAAGAAAGTTACGATTTAACGCGCCTTACGTTGAGGTCTGTACACGCGGGGGAACCATAACACGGTGACACCGCCCCGCAGGAAAGTTCCTCTTTAGCAAAACAGTTCCGCTAAGTTAGAAATTTACATCTTAAAGCATTGACATTTTTAATATGTCATATGTATGATTTTGGTGCGTAGTATTTGATAGAAGTGTGACGTTAAAGTATTCGCAAAGGCTAGGAACTAATTGCTATACACAAAGGTTTCGAATCGAGCGTGTTTCCGCGGCGGACCGCCAGCTGTCAAGAATCAAAACTCTTCCGTGTACAAACACTGGTCACAGTTCAGCCAGTTTCCCACGGAGTAGAGACTGTACAGTGGTTTTAATCCGCAAATCCAGTCGTTATGCGGTAAACACAACATTATATCAGCTAGTTTTGGACTGCTTTCACTTTTACATTGGATTTCGTCATCAAACATGGAGAAATTTGAAGGCTACATCTTCACTGCTCTCTGCAGCACCAACTTTTTGATATCCTGTCTGCTGTTCTCCAGAGTCACTCGGGAGCAAAGGGAGCCGTACATGGACGAGATTTTTCATATCCCACAAGCTCAGAAATACTGCCATGGGAAATTCAACGAGGTAAAGTGACTTCCTGAAAGCTGCGGTAGCCATGAAAGCGAGTGTCAGTGATGTGTAGCGGATTAAGGCTAGCTAACAGAGAAGCTTTTGTCTTTTAAAATGATGTGGCAGCTATTAGAGCTTTTAATCTCCGTGTCGGACATATAGAATGGCATTAGAGGGGGGTTATGTGTTTTAATGTATTGTAGTGTATGTAGCTTAATTCAGACTGTAGGAAGTGGAGATTAAAGGATCATCATCATCATGATATCATAACTACAAAGCTGTTCACGACTGATCACAGTATATCAAAGCATACCATTGTTTTTGCTTGCCTACCACTCAGGTGTGAAATTATGAATGCATCATTGAGGCTGGTCAACAGTGGGTAGTGCTGAAGCAACAGAGGCTGAGATATTCTCACTTTTACTTCCTATTGTGGATCAGGCTCCAAAACATGCTGGATCCTCCATTTTCCATGATGCAACCTAATAGTGCCTGTATTTAGTCCAGATATACTCAACCTGCTTTGTGCCGGGACCACTTTTGTAAAATAACAGGAGGTAGGGGCTAGTTAATAAACAAACAATAATAACATTAATCAGGTAAAATGAATAAATATTAAAGGTCCAGTGTGTAGGATTTAGATAACAGAATTGGTACATAATATTTATAACTATGTTTTTTTAAATTAATAATCACCTGAAACTATGAATTGTTGTGTTTTTGGGTACCTTAGAATGAGCCATTTATATGTAGCGAGTCCTCCTCCACAGAGTCTGCCATGTTGTTTCTACAGTAGCCCAGTACAGACAAATCAAACACTGGGCCTTTTGCATTTGTGCATCGGCCACCATAGAGTTCCTCCACCAGGGGCAGGTAACCGGCACCTCTGGAGCTGCATGTCGCGCTTAGCCTCTCTGGCTCCCTGTGGCTTTGACAAAAAAATATATTAAAAAGATGAAGTCAGTTTTTAAGTGAATGATGTAGCCCTGAAATGATTCTTACATTCTCCAATTGTAAAAGTGTGTAGCCTCTACACAGGATAATAATTATAATTTAAAAAAAAAAAAAAGTCTGAACATTTTGTCACCTAAACTGTGTGTCATACGTCTACAGCCTGGTGCCTTTTCCTTTAAAGCTTGCTGAACCTCAGTAGCAATGGCTAGTCTTGAGTTGCCCTGTGGGCTAGCTATAAATTTCAAATCCAAAAAAGGAAAAGTCTTGAGGGGAAATTATGCATGGACGGATTTGTTTGCTTTCAGCCCCAGTATTGCTAAGATATAGTACAAAATAATCATAAATAGCCCACTGCAGAGTAGCCACCTCCTGGTGAAACATATTAATGAATTCTTACTTACACGTATTGGTAATGTTGATGAGCTAATTTAGTCTTAACATGCTGTATTACCATCATTATTGTGCCAAAAATAGCTCTTTTGAAAGTGAAAGTTGCCGACCTCTGTTCTACACGCTTGGTACACTATAGAAGTTTCAGTTGGTTGCAGTCTGCAACCTCGCCTCTAGATGCCACTAAATCCCACACACTAGACCTTTAAAGGCTCATAACTCATCTTTATTTTAAATTCTCGATTATTATTAAGTCTACATTCATTCTTTCTTATTAAAAGCAGGGGTGTCTCTAGAATTTGAGGATATTTGGTGCTTAGCCTGGACCTTTGTTGGGGGCTTCAGGGAATCCTCCCCTGGCACTAAAAAAAGCTGTATTTTGATGCTTTTTTAGGCACTTTGGCACCTTATTTAGATTCAGAGTACACAAACTTAATTCCCAGTGTGAATCCAACTTATTTTCATTGTCAATTACAAAACGGTTAGCAGGCCATCTGGCACACTGTCACAGGGGAAACATCGGCTGAGTGTCACTGCATAAACATTCATGACTTTCAGACTCCAGTTATCTCCATTTGTATGGCAGGCTCTCTGTTAGAATGTGTCATCTTCAAGCCCAAGCTGAGATAACTTTGCCACAGACATTTTATCTATTTTCACAACATGATACAAGTAAACTGACTTTCATTTGAAATTGGTGAACGGCCCTTTTAATATGGCTTTGATTCTTCCTCAGTGGGACCCGATGATCACCACTCTCCCAGGTCTGTACCTTGTCTCTGTGGGAGTCATCAAGCCTGTGGTGTGGCTCGCTGACCTGACAGGCCAGGTGGTGTGTTCCACCGCCATGCTGCGCTTCATCAACCTACTGTTCAACTGCGGCAACCTTTACCTGCTCTATCTGCTCATCTGCAAACTGCACCTCAGGGAGAAGGTATTATTACGACATGACGAAAATCATCATGCTTGAGTGATGTTGTTTTGACATTTTCATTTTATCTGATATCACGTTTCCTTTTTCCAGACGCGGACGACCTCACGCCGAGTCCTCTCAGCACTGTCTCTTTCCACCTTCCCCGTGCTCTACTTCTTTAACTTCCTGTACTACACCGACGCCGGATCTACTTTCTTCACCCTCTTCACCTACCTCATGACGCTCTACGGTTGTCACAAGGCCTCAGCGCTCCTCGGCGTCTGCTCCGTGCTCTTCCGCCAGACCAATATCATCTGGGTGGCCTTCTGCGCAGGCACGCTAGTGGCTGCCAAAATGGACGAGGCCTGGAGGGTGGAGCACACAAAAAAGAGGGATGAGAAGTCTCCTCCGTCCCAGGTCCCGCTGTCATTTATTGGAGCCAAGAAGGTGATGCTCTTCATGCTGGAGTTCCTCACCTCACCCAGTCATGTGAAGGCGGTGCTGCTGGTGGCCTGGCCTTACGCGGTAGTCGGCGTGGGCTTCCTGGCGTTTGTGGTTCTGAATGATGGGGTAGTGGTGGGTGACAGGACGAGCCACGAGGCCTGCCTGAACTTCCCCCAGCTCTTCTACTTCTTCTCCTTCACCCTCTTCTTCTCCCTCCCCGTCTCCCTTTGTTATCACCGCGCTCTTCGCTTCCTCCAGGCTCTGAAAAAGCAGCCTCTGTTCTTCCTCTTCGTCACGTGCGTCTCCTTGCTCCTGGTGTGGAAGTTCACCTTCGTCCACAAGTACCTCCTCGCAGATAACCGCCATTTCCCCTTCTACGTGTGGAATAGGCTTTTCCAGAGGCACGAGCTGGTGCGCTTTCTCCTCGTCCCCGCGTACGTGTTTGCAGGGTGGAATTTTCTGGACTCCTTCAAGTCACGCTCACTGTTCTGGAGTTTGGCGTTCCTGGCGTGCCTCCTGGCCGCAACAGTACCCCAGAAGCTGCTGGAGTTCAGGTACTTCATCATTCCCTACCTGATGTACCGTCTGCACATGCCCCTCCCCTCTCTTCCCAGACTCATTGTGGAGTTCCTTCTCTACACGGCGGTCAACGCTGCCACGCTTTACATCTTCATCAGTAAGACCTTCCACTGGCCGGACAGCACGGCCACACAGAGGTTCATGTGGTGAACAAAGAGACAGTATCTGATGTCAGGAGTTCCAGGACTCAATCAGGATGTAGGTTTAAAAATGCTTTCCAGAGAACCACAGTCCATGTGACACCTCAGAAATCAAAGAAAAGCTTCTGTTACGTCGCAGTTACAGAAAAGAAATGGCTCACATTTTTACCATTTTGGGTTAATGTAAAGGGATCGCCATATTTTACACAGAGAGTCAGTATTGGTAGATTTATATGACAGGTGGAAGTGAAAACCATTTAAAGGTGGAGTCTGCGATTCTGGAGAAAGACCGTTGATATTTGAAGTCAACACACAAAGATATACACCCCTCCCACCAGTGCTCCCTCACAAGTAGGATTGTTAGGATAATTACGTCGTCTTATTGAGGTCATTCATTTTCCGTAACCACTTATCCTCTTGAGGGTCGCGGGGGGGGCTGGAGCCTATCCCAGCTGTCATTGGGCGAGAGGCGGGGTACAACCTGGACAGGTCACCAGACTATCACAGGGCTGACACATAGAGACAGACAACCATTCACACTCACATTCACACCTACGGATAATTTAGAGTCACCAATTAACCTGCATGTCTTTGGACTGTGGGAGGAAGCTGGAGTACCTGGAGAAAACCCTCACTGACATGGGGAGAGCATCCAAACTCCACCCAGAGGGGCTCCTGCCTGGGTACAAACCAGGAGCCCTCTTGCTCCGAGGTGACAGTGCTAACCACTACACCACCGTGCAGCCTTCGCAAACATTATTCAAGTCATGTCCATACATGATATGATAAAGTCCCATGTTTATTAGCGTGTTTATTTACATAAGAATGTCACCAACATTTTAGCCAACATGGTACTAGAATAAAAAGCAGGGTTTTCCTGACCATTTTAACACTAATCAAACAAACTGGACTTTGGGGTCAAGTGGACTTGGATCTGGGCGCTGGTCCCTAATATGAAAGCCCCTTTAGTCTTGGGCACAGAACCTAAGGGCTCATTTATGCTCAACTTTAGATACGTATACTAAGACGGACGAAGCCTTCTGTTTGTACTTTTGTTAATTTCATCTGTATTTGTGCACGTTTTCTGAAAGCTTACAGAAAAAGACAAAACAGAGCAGTACCAGCAGAGATCTTGGCGGCAGTGCAGCGAATTTCAAGACAGATACGACTGTAGGAGATGACTAAGACAATTAAAAAATGGCAGACCAGAATGAATCATTAATATAGTGAGGGGCTGGCATCGAAAATGCTATTGAATGACAATATTAATTACGGTATTGTATCGAAGTTAGAAATTCCAGTATCATGACAACAGCAGCACACAAAGAATGGACAGCTAGCGGAATATTTGGGAGTTGACTTTGCCAAAAAGTGCATTGAATTAAAATCGCAGACTCCAACTTTAATCGAGAGGATTTGGGGGTTGAGTTACGGTGGGATTTGTTTTCACTGAGAAAAGCTACAAGCACTGAAGCAGGACTGTAATTAAAATGACCAAGAGAATACAAAGAGAATTAATTTTGTAAAAAGTATTCGAGTTTTTTCCTTTGAAAATAAAATGGTGGTGACAGTGATGTAAAATCTAAAATATACTGGTATGTTTTGATGAGAATTTATTGTATATAAAAGTTTTTGGTTGAGGTGTCGATCCTTCTGCAGGGTGGAAAAGTAATCATTTCATTTCAGCATTTTTTGCGGGAGTCTGGGTTTGGTTTCCTTATGGCTATAACAGTTTTGTACTTTAATGTAAATACTGTACGCAGCTCTGCGAGTGGATCTTTGGTGGCGTTGTTGACATGATCTGTAAATATGATTAAAGAGACCAAAAATGACAGCCATATTGTAAACTTTAGAATTTTTATTGTATGGGATGTTTTTGGAGTGACTGAGATTCTCTGCTTTCTGCCAGTGAAGAACACCAATGACCCAACTTTATAATTATAATGTATGTTTTCAAATATTTTTACCTTGATTTTACTTTAACCAAGCAGTAAAGTTCCACTGGAGGTGATTTAGAAATTAGCCTTTTCTGTGATTTTGTAAGTCTTTTTTTTTTGTTTTTGAGTTTATTTGTTGACTGTTTGTATCCACTTTCTGTCCTCTACTTTCATTGTGCCTGATTTGTGTGTGTGTGTGGAGCACGTGTGTTTTATTTCACTAGATAGATGCAGTTTTAAGGAGTATTTCCCCCACAAAATGTTTGTTTGTTTATCAGTTTCTCACCGTGTTACGTTGAATCTGAGAAGAAAACTTGCTGCATGCCTTTACAGTGAAAAGAGAATCCAAAGACAGAGAAAAATGTCTTTGTTTTTGGATTCTTCGTTCACCATGGAGGTAAGCTAGAAAAACAAAGTTTTATCCATGAAGTCAGGGTAACACGTGGTGAATAACTGATGTGCTAATGATCATTTTTGGGCGAAGTATTCCTTTGACTATGAAATTGATCTGTCCTCCAGCTGTACGCTGCCCCTGTTGATACAATCTTGTGTAAACCTTTGAATAAAATGACTCGTGATATGAAGTCTCAGGTCAAGTTTATTTAAAGAGCACTTTTGGTGAATGTTAACAGCCAACTCCTACTCCACATTAACCCTTCTTGTAGTTGTGAGTCATGCTGATTGGGATGTGTGGTCCAACTGCAAAGGCGTTGGTGTTCCTCAGGCTGATGTGTCAGGATCCTGAGAGAAGCAGCATCCAGTCCAACTCTCCAATTCAGGGGGTGCAGCTTGGGACCCAGAAGCTTCAAATGCCTGGCCAGCTTGACAGTTAGGGCAACTGGAAGTCTTGTTTTTGTAACTATTTCAGTCTCAGATGCTGAGAAACTATCCATCCATTTCCGTAACCGCTTCATCCTCTTGAGGGTCGCAGGTGGGCTGGAGCCTATCCCAGTTGACATTGGGTGAGAGGCAGGGTACACCCTGGACAGGTCACCAGACTATCACAGGGCTGACACATAGAGACAGACAATCATTCATGCTCACATTCACACCTACGGGCAATTTAGAGTCACCAATTAACCTGCATCTCTTCGGACTGTGGGTGGAAGCTAGAGTACCCACGCTGACACTGGGAGAAGGTGCAAATTCTGCACAGAAGGGCACCCCACTCTGATTTCGAGCCTTTCACCCTGGATTTGAACCGGGAACCCTCTTGCTGTGAGGTGCCGATGTTTAATTGTAACTAAAACGCCTGGTTTTATGTTGCTTCCCTTCCCCCTGATGACAGTAAATAATACAGTGTATGCACAAAACTTTACAGAATACAAAGGGTGTTGCTCCATAAAATGTGCTGATTCAACACATCAGCCACTAGAGGGAGCTATAAGACAAAGCTGGGTATTCCTATGAACAAAGTGAACACTTGAATAAGAAGTGAATCAATCAAACTGGTTATAAATTCAGCACTGAACTCTAAATGATGCTGTCACAGCTGAGTAACACAGAAAAAAACGTCCTGCCTGTGGAAAACCAAAAACAAATTGTTCATGTCAAGCTGGCCTTATAAAATTGTTTTATTTTCACACTATTCAAATAATCAGCCACTTTCAACTGGAACAAACAGGGGTGCTTTAAAATGAAATGAAATTAGAACTAGATAAAGACCAACAAAGAAGAAAATTAGCAGGATCTGACATCATAGTAATTTGGAGTACTCTTCTTTATTGTGTAAAGAATGATTGCTCTCAGTGTAACCTGTATGACTATGAGATTCTAATTACACGAAGCAGCGTGAGGCCAGCTCACAGTAGACTTTAATAAAGTCAAACTGGGATGATTAGACAAATGTTGATTACACTATTCAGACACTTGGAGCTGGCGTGAAGGAGATACTGTATGTGCTGTGTTCAGGTTGTGTTCAGGGTGGGAGCTGCTTGAAATATACAGGAGTGAATAATTTTTTTTTTTTTTTTTGTATCCTGGCTCCCTGACTCTCTCTTTGCCTTTCTAGCACCTCATTGATTTTTACTTTGGGGGATGATGAAAGTACAGAATATTAATCTTTTCTCACCACTTTGCTCTGGATTTTTTATTTTAAATTACAGCTCGAGAGAGAGAGGCACTACAATTACTCATAGATTTATATGTCTGTCAGGATAACCCCGTCCTTGTGTAAAGCAGAATATCTGAATAATCACTGACTGCATTTTGAGAAAAACTGCTAAAATGGCTGACTCAGACAAACATTTTGAGGAATTCGAAAGCATATTTGAGAAGTAAACAGTTTCAGGCTCAAGTCAAACTGAAAACACAATCAGTTTCTTCAGTCAAAAATGCTATCAGTGTATTTTTATGTACTGTTGAAAATAATTAGGGGATGAAAAACATTTTAGAAATGTTCTTTTTCCTGTCAGTGGCTGGTGGTGTGTCTTTCTTTGTCAGCTGGCAGGCTAATGCTACATTCATGTCATATCGGAGTATGAATTTCTGACACATAAACAGTGTTCATATCCACACCCAAATCATAATTACACCTCTGGCTTTTCTGAAAGCTGTGATAAACTCAACTTAAGGTGTTCTTAAATACGGAGGTGCCTAAAAACACTGACAACTCATGTCAGCGTGTTAGATATCATCAAAGCTAGATGTAATTAATGTGGTGTTATGTTGTTAATTTACAGTATTAGTCTCACATGACCAGCTCTGTAAACATATGACTCTCTCGAGTAATCTGATAACATAAGCACTTGCAAGTCAGTAGCATGGGAATCTTCCCATCTCATCTGTCATGTGGAACCACCTGTCTATTGTTTCTGTCTGTATTTCTAGTTGTGTAGCCCCGAGAAAACAGTGTGCAGGTGAGGTCAGGACCTTATAAAAAACATGGCGGCACAGTGCCAGACTGTAAGCAGCACAAGTGCAAGAGGAAGATACAAAATTGCGGACACAGTGCTGAAAAAAATACAGCAAAGCAAACTAAGCTCGTTCCAAAATGAGAGTGAATCTGGGGTTGACTTTAACTTTCATGGGCAACCACTGAGGACACGATGAAGTGCGACGCAGAGTTGGCTTGGTTTCTGCTGGACTGGTAGGTGCTAGTGGTTACTTTCCCATTACAACAAATGTTTTGTTCGTACAAAAGTAGCTTGCAATGTACACTGCAAATGATTTCTGTAACTGTAATATTTCACAATAAATTACATCATTATCACCTCACAGGCTTTTATTGTGATATTAAACCAAATTCAGAGTTTTATTGTGAAATTCATGCAGGTAAATATAGTAATTTTACAGAAGTACACTGCTAAATCACACATATGGATTCTAACTGTGAGATTGCAGTGAAATACAGAAATTCTATGGGAACATATTGCTAAATGCAACCAGGTCTCACCCTGAAGTTGTCAAAATCCAGCGCTTGGGCAGTGACTTGTGGTGTCAGACACCACGAAAAAAGCTGTCCTTTAATGTTAGCTTGATACATGGCCGTTCACCATTACAGTTTAACAGCAGTGTCGGGGGAACACGCGGTGGGACAAGAA